TCAAAAGCCCAAACAGAGTAAACACGTTCCCCGAAGACAGTCCAAGGTCAGCCAATCACTCTGTAAAGTCACCTTGACTTCACTGAAATAAAACTGCATTCGTAGAACAACATATTATCAGTAGCAAAGTGAAGCATTCAAATTAGAGACCAAACAAAAATAAAAACATAATAAGGATTAAATGAAAAAGAGATGTTCAATGATCTACAGTTTAGAGGGAAAAGTGGTGGCGGTAGTTACAAGGTTAGCTGTGCGTCAGTGGCACAGCGTTTAGTACTCTCTCCGACCATGCACATGGTCCAGGGTTCGATCCCCTGCCGACGCATACCTGATATCAATAGTCGGCCTGCAAAATTTGGGCTACCTATATCCATGCTGAAAATTCCATACTTGTACCAAGAATACGGTGTGGAATCAAGCTATTAATTAATTATTAATAATTTGAAAATATAGTCCATGGAAGGATTCTCAGATTGACTATTCGAGTACAGTCATGTATCTCAAAACTGTCAGAAGATCAAAGTTCTGGATTCAGACAGCATTTTGAAACACTGACTAGTGAATTAAGAATATTCGTTCCAATACATTTTACCTTAATGCACCACAGTTACATGTCTAGATTATTTAATGCGTAAATTTTCAAAGAGCACAGCAAGATTTCTATGTACTACAAAAATAATATGCATGTTTTAACATCAGAATCAACTGTTTATATAGAGATAAATTTATAATTTGCATGTTCGTGATAATATAAGCAAATGCAACACTAAGTTATTTATGTCAAATATCTCAGCGAGGTATATTCAAAGTCACTGATGATAAATGACAAAAAAGAAACTATAAAAAGTAGAACATTCATGATTTATGCTTAAAACAAATTGAATTTAATCGGATTATGAAAAATTTATATGAACACACATTCTAAGGAAAATATAAAGAGACGAAGAAGCGAAATAGAAGATTGCGTGTACTTAGAATCATGTGAGTGAATACGAGGAAACAAATGAATGAAATCTGTGAAAATTAAATGGTTTATTTTTGATAACGCAGAATGAAATGGTCACAATTTGCTTCATATAGTGTCCTTCAGGGATATTTACAGACAGTCAGTGAGGTCACATACACAAATTCCAGAGCTGATCATACTGGTAATAATGATTGCCCCTATTTGAATAAAAGTACATTGTTTTAACAACAATACCACCTAGAGGTTAAGAGCTAATATTTGTTTCATTTCTGCAAATACGTCAACTGTTCATCGTTCTTTTCACTTCTAGAGTAATATACTTAAGTAGAATATACTTTAGTATTAAATGCGTCCATTAATTCTTTAGCAAAGGTGATCAATTTATTTTTCGCTGAAGACCTATGTGTTTCATTTCAATTCCTCTTTTCTCCTGGAAAAATTATCTTTCGAACTAGTTTGCTTTCAACATTTTTCGTGTTAAATGCATTAAATTCAATGTATATCTGCTATCTTGACATGGATGATCGGGATTGTGTATCGCAGTGACCCTACAAGTTACACTCGCCTAAACCTATGTTCCTGTAGGTCCAAATATGCCACAAAGACTGCTGAGAGAGTGGTTAGACTAGAAGCAGTTACCCTCAGAGTGTATGCAGCACACACTGTCTTGACCATCTGAGGGCAAACTAGTAATTCTGGCGAATAGAGATGCATTGTTAAAGTTCGTCTGCCCTGGATTTTATATACTATCTATTTATTATTGTAAGGTTTAACAACTACTAGATTTACACTGAGTTTATAGAAGCATTTTAACAAAGAATATAAAAGAGGAGAAACGTGTGTGAGATCTGGAAGTCATAAAATCAGTTAGACTGGCAGTCAGTACCATTTAAGTGTGCTATGCTTCACCACAAAAAGACACAAAGACCAGGTGTCAGAACTAAAGTTCAATAACAGAAATCAAAAGTACTATGAATGAAGAGATGGTAAAAAGATACCTATTAGTAAAATAATCAGAATCATGGCAATAGTACTTTCTGATGTGGTTGTGTTCTCTGAGCTGGATAGTTAATTTGCGAAGCTTTAATCATCCTACTAGGCGACATCTTCAGCGCATACTTCAATTTGTTGAAGTGAGCTTTTAGATTTATCCACGAGTTTATTAATCATCTCTCCTGGTGACCTTGGACGTGACTGGTTGTTTTTGTGTGTTTTCACACCTTCTAGGTTACTTGTATGGGAATTGATTGTTTCTTTGACTTGAACTTTGACCCTTTGTGTGTAAGGTATCTTTTTTATCGGTTGATAAATTTTGTCTATCTCAATGTGTCTATTGATTGATGATTCACTGGAATGCCAAGCTTTTAAAAATTCTGTAGCATTCTTGTTGTTTCCTCTGTCTAATATTTGAACGTTGGTTGTCCCAGTCGAATTGATGTCCATGGCTGTCTGTATGCAGTGGAGCGATATGAGGGAGTGGATATCATGTCTTTTGACAGCTAGCTTATGTTCGTGGATACGAACGTCCACTTTGGCCAATGTAGTGTTTTTCGCAGTTGTTACCATTTATTTCGTAGATGATGTTGGTTTTATCTTCTGTCGTTGTTGAGTCTTTTGGTTGACATAGAACTGAGTGAAGTGAATTTGTTAGTCTGTGTACGATGTCAGTTACTAAAGGTTAGAAGAGTCAAACAGTGATTTCTGAGATATCCTTTATATAAGGTAAGGCGATTTTTTTGTGCCTTCCTTGGGGGCTTTCGGTTGGATAGGTTGGCTTGGGGAAATGTGTCTCTTGATGAAATTCGCAAATTAACAACCACATCAAAATCATCCACCTGAGCTGCAAATCTTCTCTACCATATCTAAATAGTACATTTTTGCATATATGTATAGAACGTGGAGACTGGTACCATGTACTAGTATGATTAAGCAGAAAATTTATGTTCGAAACGTCCTTCAGTAAGCACTACTGTCTAATTGTCTTACTGATATAATAAACAAACAAATATGCAATGATACATTCACATTACAGTCGTCTACCTTTGTCCATTCAACCCTAGATTTCATCTCCCTAATATCGCCAAGATTACAGTCAGATAAATTAAATAGACCACATGGATAAGGCCAACAGTCAGACTACTCATGAATTAGTGCTGTTTTACCAAACTGTTACCTTCAAACATTGAATCACCTTATTCATTTAGTGATCATTAACTTGGTTTTAAGATATAATTTTAGGTTTCAATCTAGGCGTTTTTAACCATTGCCATTAAGACAGATAATAGTAAACGTGATCTCTTCACATCTTCCTTGTCTATAGCTCTCATATATTAAAATATAACATAGTCAGCAGCCATGCAATACACTGATTCTGCATTAAATCACTGGTGAATTCTGCTTATATTGAAAATGATAAACACCTTAGTCAATCTCATGTTAAGGTATGCATCAGTCAAATAGGCAACAAGGTGATAAAAATCACTCAGATTAAATATATATTTTAGAAATCACAAACTGATAGACAAATGAATCTAAAGTTCTGGCTAGTTTGATTTATTTTTGTTTCTTTTACAAATAATATTGTCACTTTAAAATAGGCCTTCAGTGATATTAGATGGTTGGAGGCAATCGGCCACGGAAAGCCTTGGACCTAGGTTTCGTGCTAGTTGGCACTCACAAGTCAGCAAGGCGTATCTGAAACCTTGAAGGGACTCATGTTCCACCCCTTTGAGATTCAAACCCGTGTCACCCAGTGCCGCCTGCAGTCAGAGACGTTACTACTGAGCTATTCAAGCTCGCAGCTGACCTCCTGTAGGACTGTAGTGGGTACTTTGATTGGACACTAGTAACTAGTATGATGTGTCTAGTCCTTTCTTTGCTGCAGACTGAATTCTGTCATCGCACTAGTTACCAGTGTCCAATCAAAGTACCCACTACAGTCCCACAGGAGGTCAGCCGCGAGCTTGAATAGCTCAGTGATAACGTCTCTGACTGTAGGCGGCACTGGGCGACGCAGGTTCGAATCTTAGAGGTGTGGGACACGAGTTCCTTCAAGCCTGCAGATATGCTTTGTTGGCTGGTGACTGCCAACTAGCACGTATCTTAGATTCAAGGCTTCCTGTGGCCTATTGCCTCCAACCATCTAATACCATCAAATCAATATGCGCCATGATGGCGAGCTAGCTAGAATGTTGGCCACATTACAAACCTGACTGATAGAATTCAGTCTGCAGCGAACAAAGGACTAGACATATCACACTATTTACTAGTGTCCAATCAAAATAGGTCTTTAGTGAATTTTATTAAGATATAACTAAGTATGTTACTCATCTCATGAAGTACACATTTCCGTATAGATTGTGAATACTTAAAAGGCATCTTATAACGTAAAGTGTTCTGTTCAAAGAGTACTTATCCCAAAATGTATGCTGTTTATATACCCTCCTATGAGTACAAAACAAACAAGTGAACATATCATACACCGTTTGCCTATTATCTATCTCATAGGTATATAAATATCTGTTCATCATGTGATTATAGCAAGAAGAATAATTAGAAGACAAAAAGAATAATTATTTTATCTAGAGCATTCATTGATTGTTCACCAATAATTATAATAATTAACCAATATAGTATACATTACTTTTATCTTCTATTAGTTATGTCACTTACAGAATATAAGCTTTATATATAAAAAGAAAAAGAAAAACTGACATGCACAACCTGTCTTCAGTTGTTTTTCTTATTGATTAGATGAAATGAAATAATCACTACTGCCTCTGAAATGCATAAATACTGAGAGATGTCTTAATATCCGGATAGCATTTTGGAAAAAAAAGAAGAGACTAGCCAACCTTTCTGCTTTAGTTTACGCCATACAATAATGTGTATTGCTTAACAGAGATATAGATAGATACAAAGATTAAAGAAGTATAGTTTATTATACATTTTCTAACTCTCAGGACAAAATACATAGGAATATTATTATAAGATAGTTTTATTATCATAGTCAATTTATTATCTGCAAACGAAAATGACTACAATACGGCGGTAAGTATAACTTCTTTTTTATTGTTTTGTTTAATTTATTCATAATTTAAAGTGTCTAATAATTTGTCGTACTTTTCTTCTGAGAAAAAAGCATTCTTTCTCACTTTAAGAATATTTTATGCCAGATAATTAACCTTTACATCTCAAGATCAAACAACTATTTGTACTTAATTAAAAGAGGCATAGAGTTCTCGTCAACCACGCCTCATGTGGTCCGGGGTTCACTCCCCCGCCACCGACCCACTCCTTTACCTCATTAAGCCAGTAATAAGGCTAGTAAAAAAGGAAGGTTGGGCATGAGGTTAGCAACCCCATCCCGTAAATATAAATAAACACCATTGCTACAGAAACTTCAAGCCACTAGCTTGAAGTCCCATGTTCCACATGGAACGTAAGGGAACAAAAAAGTTATGAAGAAAATAAAAGACAAATTCAGCGAAGAAAATTTTCTTTATCGATGAAATCATCTTCAGAGGCTGTATAGTGGTATTTATACTTACAAAATTATATAGTAGTCTATTATTGACATAATTGATATAATTACTCATAAGCGGCTTTAGAAGTGATAATTAAAAGTTGTAAATTACGTAGTACTCAACGGCACAAAGATAGAAATTTGACAAGGTTAAAATTGCTCCTGAGTGAGAATAAAGGTAGCTGAGTGTCAATTTAACAAGTGTGAACAGGGTGTTAAAATATACAAAAGGAGCATATGAGATTGATAATAGTGAATTAATTATTAAAGCAAAAGCAAACTAAAAGTAAAATTAAAAAGCAAATCAAAAATCAAAATTTTTACAGGGAACGATTAGTGAAGAGGTTAAGACCAAGGTAGAATAAGGGACTGGACAAACTCTATACAGAGTTCAGGGTTGTGTTGATGAATTGCCAGCGCCTCCGCCATACACAAAAGCCGAAACCTGACGCTATTTGTACTATTCGGCCTCACTTTGTAGATGATCTTGAAAGATGACTCTGGTGGGGCTACGTGGCCTGAGTACACCAAATGCTTGAGAATTGAGCTAGTAATTATCTTACATTGTCCCTTTGTTAACCATGCCGGGCAATGTTCAGAGATGCGTTTGGAAAGTGTGCGGTCACTCTGTGGGGCCAATATAACTAGCTCTACACGAGCAGGTGAATTTATAAACACACATTGAGGTGGTCCAAAGCGGCAGTTTATCCTTCACACATCCATTTATCATTTGTCGGCTGTAGAAATTGATACGTAGCTCAGCCATAAAGAAGGCTTTCCTCAGTGATCTGTACAAGCGATTCTTCAGGAACTCAGCTGCGGTATCAACTTTAAATTTAACACTCATAAATAGCAGTTTCTTCAGCACCGTCTGGATTCTTTCAGGCTTTTCCCGTAATTTCATGTTTTTCTTGTTAAATCTTGGAGGATATCTATTCTCCACGAGGACTTGTCTGAGTCGCCGCAGTTCCCCATTGATTGTATCACTTGAACATATCCTCTTTATTCTTGACGATAAGAAATGGATCAGATTTCTCTTTCTTCTCAAAGGGACCCAGTTATGGAAATTTGTGTACTGACCATTCAATGTTGGTTTCCTGTAGATGGATCTTTGAAGAGAACCATCAGATCTCCTCTTTAAAAAACATCCAGAAAATGGAATTTCAAGTTAATCTTTGACTCCAAGGTGAACTTGATAGCATGGTGGTAGCTGTTGAACTCTTTAGTTATCAATTCGACGTCGATATCGTCGTCACATATCATGAAAGTATAATCCATGTACCTGTGGTTTAGATGGAAACTATCGATAGTAAGCCGTAAAATACTATTCTCCAAACTAGCCAAGAAACAGTCTGCAAGTAAAGGCCCCAATGGTGACCCTATAGACACTCTATCTCTTTGTCTATTAATCGTGTTTTAGAACTCGAACTGTACATGTAGAGCTCACCTCAATAATAGTTCCTTTAAGTAGTGGATCGGAATACATTATTATTATTATATCCTTTAATTCCTAGAGGAACATAGGGCTTCAGCTGCGCGTCTCCATTGCGTTCCGTTCTCTGCTAGAGTTTACACCTAGCTCTAAGTCTGCCCACATGCTTTCATCTCCTCTTCACATGACCTCCTCCAAGTCACGCCACCATCGCACTGACGACCAACTCGCCGTTTCCCTCTCGGGTTCCACTCGAGCAATGGCTTGTCTAGGCATGTCACTTGATGGTTTCCTCAGAATATGGCCAGCCAATCCATCTCCATTTCCTCCTGCCTGTTTGTTTCACAATCGGTTCCTGGTTGGTTGGTTGGTTCGCTGATTGCCAGAGATCCCTGTTGCTGATCTTTTCTGATTGGCCATCTGATCTTGAGTATTGAGCGAAGACAGCTGTTAATGAAGGTCTGTAGCGTGTTTGAGATGCTCTTTATGACGCGCCAAGTCTCTGATCCCTATAGTAGCACTGACTTCACACTGGAGTTGAAAATCTGGATGTTATTTTTGATGATGAGTGCTGTTGACCTCCACACAGACTTGAGAGTAATGAAAGCCTGTCTTGCTTTTCGGAATACACACATCTACACTATTATCCTTAATGAATTTGCATATAGAGCAGATAGTTTCAGTGAGGGGAACGTTGGTGAAAAGCGAAGTAACATCCATGGATATCATTTTCTTCCTGGACACATTAGCATCACTTATTGAATTGACGAATTCAAATAAATCAGAAAGGAAGTATCTGAAGTCTGTCTGTCTGTCTGTTTTCGACATAGAACTTTGCACAAATGTGCGGAAGTTCAAGTCGCCACATTCCGTGTAGCACGCGAAGCAGGAGAAGAAAGTACAAGAAAAGCATAATAGAAACAGTGAGCAGAGGTGTGAGACAAAGGAGTAATAAAGAAATACAAAACAGTTTCATTGAAGATCATAAGTCACAGGGAGTGGATGCATCTGCGCCACTGAGAACGGTTTTGAGCCATGTCACCAATTGTTTCCAACCATAGATTTTTACCGTCCCGAGGACCCCAGCCTGAAGTATTGAATATGATATGAATAAATCACTATATATATATATATTTTTTTTTTATTATGTCTGGTTACGTGATTATCACTGACTGACTGACTTATCAAAGTTATTTTTAGTATTAACAGCCTTAACAACAATTCCGCTTATTTGCTTGTTTTTCTTTACGGGGAAATTCTGTTTTAAAAAAATGCATACTTTATATGTAACAACCTAAGCCGACAATGTTGTGGTCTGAACACAGAAAACTAATTTTAGCGTTCTCCTGTGCATCTGCAAACCATAGATTTCTTGAGTTATGTACAGTACAAAAATGTTCAAGCGATAGTAAAAAGGCAGTTATTCCCAATAAAATCTTCAGTACTACTTAGCAATTATGATATGTTAAAACGCAAAATTACCTTGACAACGCCGTTAGGCAGCTAGCTATATAGATCCAATAGTTTCTGGAGTACAAGACAAGTACTCTACAACATAGTTGCTTAATCAAAAAATAACCACAAGAGGCGCCTGAGAATCAATAAGGATATTCCCAACAAAGTGGGATGAAAGCTCTGTCAGTAAGAATCACACACCAAAAGATTTCCGAAGGCAATCCATGGTCACAATGATCTTGATTCAACCAAAATCCTGGTCGTACATTTTTTTGATTACAGCTTGATTCCACACCGTATTTTTGGTACAGATATGGAATTTTCGGCATGTGATATCGGTAGCCCAAATTTTGCAGGCCGACCATAGATATCAGGTGTGCGTCAGCAGGGGATCGAACCTCGGACCAAGTGCATAGTCGGCGAGAGTCCTAACCACTGTGCCACCGACCCATGAATTCTAACTTCTGTCAGGTTTTCTAATGGTTCTCTATCTAATGTCAGCTCATGATGAAAATTAATCTCTTGGAGCTAATACACTTGCTTTTTATAGGCATAAAAAACTGTAATACTGCCTTTATTAGCTATTGCCTATCCTAATCATATCCTGTTATTTGCTTTCTTTCGCCTTCCAGACATCACAGTACATTTTCTCACACCATGAATAAATTTAAGGCCATGGACAAGGCGAATAATCCACAGGGTGCTAAACCAAGGTAAGCAACATAATCAATGTAATCGGGTTTATGTATATATGGAGATATTTTTAAACATTCACAGTGTTACTATTTTTAGGAATATTACTTTAGTTATTACTTCACAGTAGGTATAAAACAGATTACAGAAGGGAAATTTATAACCAGCAGTAATTAAGACAAACTACTTAACACTAATGGCAACAGTCAGTTACTTTGCTTTACCATACAGTAAGTAATATAGCATCAGTACAGATGAAGCATAACAAATTTTACACTACACATAGTATTGATAGACTTCAAAATATCAGAATAAAGTTTTCTAGAGAGTAAGTTCAGTGTGGGAATACATCCTTCTTTCAATTAGCATCCCATCAGCAGCATTAAACTAATTTATTCATTTGGAAACAAAGCTACTGGTGACCTGTTACTTAGCAAGAATTTTTCAATCCTAGGGTATGAAAGAGGAGAAAAGTAACTATAGAAGTAATGACAAGAGTTAAAAGACAAAATAACCTTTTATCACAGTGACACATAATACGTCAAGCTTTAAAGTTTCAGTAGCTTTGTCTCTCATTTTACAGGTTAGCGTTGTTAGTCACACGCCTAACTTTCTCGCTTTTCCGGGCGTACTACTGGTTAGTATAAAGTAGGGGAAGTTCCAGAGTATGTCGACGTCCCGAGTGACTTGTAGGCACTAGATCACTGAACCATTAGCATTTAAGTTTCTGAAAAATCAAGGGACAGTAAAACATTGTTAAATAAGAACGACACCTGAACAAGTGCATTGAATAGATGAAGAAAGGGAATTCAGTATAGATATGTTTATTGTATGTTTCATACACTGAAACAGTACTGACGTTCTGAACACAGTCTATTCTGAATAATCATATCGTATCACCGTAGTACAATAAATTTTATTTGAAACGTCTCCAATTAAATAATGCTGTTTGACTAAGGGATTTATACAATGTAGAAATTATTATGGATTTAAATGCTACCTCAATTTCCACGTTTTACACATAAATTAATTTGAAGACGAAGATGTTAAGTGGGATAATAATAATAACAAGAATAACAATAATAATCGAAGTGGTCATAAAAGTTTGTAAAATGTTGTGTAGGGGATAGGGCCATTCCTAGATAGGATGGGTAATTCAGAGCAAGTTATTTTCTCCCTTATCACCACGTATCTACACTAGTGTCAGACTGCAAGCTCAGTTTTGTGTAACTTTAAGAAAAGCAATGCGTCGGTGGCACAGTGGTTAGCACGCTCGCCAGCCATGCATATGGTCCGAGGTTAGATTCCCGGCCGACGCACTTCTTTACCTCTCTATGCCAGAAATAATCCTGGTAAAGAGGAAAGGTTGGGCGTGAGTCTAGCAACCCCATCCTGTAAAAATAAACACTGCTAACGGAAACTTCAATCCACTAGCTTGAAGCCCTATGTTCCACTGGGAATGTGAAGGAAAAATTATTATTTATTTTTTATTAAGAAAAGCAAATTTATACATCTGATATAAAGTCTAATTATTTAGTTTACTGGACTGTAAGCATATGAAGAGAATGACAAATATACCTCTAGCCTCATATTACAAAATTCTCTGTATACTGTAGCAGTTCCTCAGAAAGGATTACTAAGCTATCTGTTCACTAAGCTTAGCTGTCGAATTCAAGTGTAAATTTTTAATGTAAGACAGACTGTTGGCAGTAAGAACAGTTTGTAACAGGAATTATCCACCCAAAGAATAAGTTTTGTGAATAATAATTAATTATGATAGGATTGATAGCTATTCTGGACAACACATTTATATACAATATAGAAATCTAATAATGGTTTATTGTAAAATATTCACTTCTTGTACAGACGTTTCAGGTGAGTTAACTGTGTTATTTAATGTGGTGACGTTCAGTCTAAAGCACTATTAAATCTTTCACTATATAATTCGACCTCTTAAAAATTAAGGAGCATTAAGCAGAGACTTTTATCAACAAATGCCTTCACTGGCTCTATATTGCAGATCAAATAGCCAGAAAGAATTAACAACAAGAAACTCTGAGAACAAACTAATCAAAAAAACTATTGTTCAACAATTATGTTTGAGAAAATGAAGATTGACAGGGCACACACTGACAAGACCATCAAAAGACATCAGGCTCCAGATCCCTGAATGGATCTTCCTATGATGTCTGTCTCTGTCTGTCTGGATTCAACATAGAACTTGGCACCGAAGTGCAGCAGTTCCAGTTGCCACGTTCCAAATAGCACACAGAGGTAGACAAGAAGATGAGTGGAGAGAATCAACAGAGTTTGACAAGTATAAGAGTGAAACAGAATGGGTAATTGTAGAAAGGAATATGAAAGATTACAGAGACTGAATACATCTGCCCTGGCCATTGACAACGATTTTGAGCCATGTCACCTATTGTCTCCAGCCATTGATTTCTAGAGTCAGTCTCGAGGGCCCCAACCCGGGAGTCTGCATCTCCCTACCTGACCGACTCAGTTTAACTGTCAAGGATTTCATGGATTGATGAGGCCATGTTTTTGTTTGGCCACCACTGGCTCTTTTCCAACCTGAACCTATATCAGCTAGTAAAGCCCATCGGGCGGGGGAGGCGATGGTTAGGCATACGCATCACGTGACCTAACCATCTCAATATATGTAACTTTATAGCCTCGTTGATTGATTTTCCCTCTTTACCCAACACTCTACGCCTAACGTCAACATTACTTACGTTAGTATACCACCTAACGTGAGAAAGTGATCGTAGACATCTATGATCAAAATCAGTCAACCTTTTCATGTCTTCAACTCGTATTGGGCATGTTTCAGAACCATAGAGAAGGACGGAACGAACTACTGAGCAGTACACACGTCCCTTGGTTGATAGCCGGATGATGACGTGGAAGATATCGTATAAGGAGGATATAAGAGACTGCGGTCAATCGTAGGCCCAACTGAAGAGGAGAAGATAGAACAAAGTAAAGATGTGTTGTTGAAGCCCTATATTCCACAATAATATTAATAAACAGAAGAATTGAAAAAATTTGATATACTATCATTTCAGTGATATGAAGAAAACCTTTTCTATTACGTCGGATAGTGTAGCAGCCTAATTGGTAGTACATTGATTTAGACAATATGTTTTTAAGAATTCAGTTCTGTTTGACCAGGATATATAAATATAAATGAATGTATTGATCACCAACCACTTTTATCTTCAGTATAGAGACAATAAAACCATTTATCGTACTAATTAATTAATAAAAATCTAATTAAATTTACCATTAAAGATAGATATGTTAATATGGTGAATAATTAGTCATACTACAACCAATGTAGGTTGTTAAAAATTTAGAAGAAATACATTTAACCTAAATATGATATATCTATCATCCTAACTGACAGAAATTTGCATTGTCTATCAAAATAGTTGGACATTATATTTTCTCCACAGCATATACCTATTTTCATGTTTCACCTGTCATTTTCACTATCACCATACTGAAACTACTAGAATGATAGAAAGACTGAATAGGCTTACTACAAATTCAGATTTTTTACTTTATTTCTTCTCTATTCCCTTGGATTTCGAGTGAAACATATGACTTTGAGCATGAGCTTTCAAGTTTCATTGGAAGCAATGTTGTTTCTAGGGGGTAAGATTGCCAGTAACACACCCTGCATTTCTTCTTTCCCAGCTAAGCTAAGTTTACTACAGTTGCCTTGGCCAGGAATTGAATCTGGACCAATAGAACAGTTGGTGAGAGTACTGCCACTGAACCACCGACTCAATACAAAACTTTACAATATAAATCAAAAACTGTCTCCATTATTCCTGATCTCACCTAATAATATTATTAAACCATACAGAAATTACCATTCAGTTTAATTTTTGTCTTGCAGTTTTGCAGCCGGTGGTAAAAGTGGTCAACCGAATGCTAAACAGATTATGCTGGATTGGTGTAGAGCTGTCACCAAAGGATATCAGGTAATTATAAATTGCCTTTAATTATATATACATTAAATACCAATGAGTGAGACTTTGATAAATTCTCATATATTCAGCTCCCTTATTGAATTTGAACAAAACAAAACCGCATTATTTTCAGAATAAAGTGGTAAAGTCTTTTATTTCATCGCCTACTCGTCAACTGCTTACTGACTAAAGACATTATTAAATATATCTACAAAAACAACTTTAACATACTTACACAGACTTCATTTTAAACAAAAATCAATCGATCAATATATGCATACACTAATAGTATATACATATACATATACGTAATATTAAACACTATTTCGAACAACAACAATAATCATACACAATGGAAACTTTTCAGGATTACGCTTTGTTCAAATTCATTAGGGCGAATAAATGTATGAAATTTCTGAAACATCGCCTCCCCCCAGAGAATCTTTCAAATCACTGAATCATTTGGTGACAATTCGTTGCGGAGTGTCCAGAGAAGTGACTCGATTGAAGTTATACGATGACTGCTTGGGGTCTCACTGCTTTCCTCGCCATCTCATGAAGTCACTACGTACTTGCAAATTACCTCCATCTCTCAAAAATCTTCGACACATTACAAGGTCGCATATTGAAAGCTATACTTTCGATGATTGACTCGCCTCAACATAAGGCTGCACGTTGGCTTGCGGAGAAGTTGGAACCTATTCGTCTAAGACTAGCCATGCACACTTTGAAAGATTCATTTCATTTCTCTGAAAGTGTGAACCACATGAACGTTTTAAATAAGTTCATGATGTCATTTGATGCAACCTACTTGTTCAAAATGATTCCAATCAACGAAACTATTGAGATCATTTGTCAGCAGTCCGATCTTCTCCCACTTTCAGAGTCGGAATTCAAACGCCTACTGCTTATGTGTACCATGGATGTGCAATTCCAATTTGACAACACTTTTTACCGCCAAATAAATGGTGTGACCATGGGTAGTCCACTTAGCCCCGTTTTAGAAGATATATTCATGTCAAACCTTGAAAGAACAAAGTTGAAGCAAGCAATCGACGAAACAACTTCCTACTGTCGATAAGTTGATGACACATTTGTAGTGTGCAACAATGAAAGTCATGTTTCACATTCACTCACATTGTTCAATGATGCACACAACAATATCTAGTTTACTATAGAACATGAAAGTTACGGGAAGTTTCATAGTAAACTAGATATTGTTGTGTGCATCATTGAACAATGTGAGTGAATGTGAAACATGACTTTCATTGTTGCACACTACAAATGTGTCATCAACTTATCGACAGTAGGAAGTTGTTTCGTCGATTGCTTGCTTCAACTTTGTTCTTTCAAGGTTTGACATGAATATATCTTCTAAAACGGGGCTAAGTGGACTACCCATGGTCACACCATTTATTTGGCGGTAAAAAGTGTTGTCAAATTGGAATTGCACATCCATGGTACACATAAGCAGTAGGCGTTTGAATTCCGACTCTGAAAGTGGGAGAAGATCGGACTGCTGACAAATGATCTCAATAGTTTCGTTGATTGGAATCATTTTGAACAAGTAGGTTGCATCAAATGACATCATGAACTTATTTAAAACGTTCATGTGGTTCACACTTTCAGAGAAATGAAATGAATCTTTCAAAGTGTGCATGGCTAGTCTTAGACGAATAGGTTCCAACTTCTCCGCAAGCCAACGTGCAGCCTTATGTTGAGGCGAGTCAATCATCGAAAGTATAGCTTTCAATATGCGACCTTGTAATGTGTCGAAGATTTTTGAGAGATGGAGGTAATTTGCAAGTACGTAGTGACTTCATGAGATGGCAAGGAAAGCAGTGAGACCCCAAGCAGTCATCGTATAACTTCAATCGAGTCACTTCTCTGGACACTCCGCAACGAATTGTCACCAAATGATCCAGTGATTTGAAAGATTCTCTGGGGGGAGGCGATGTTTCAGAAATTTCATACATTTATTCGCCCTAATGAATTTGAACAAAGCGTAATCCTGAAAAGTTTCCATTGTGTATGATTATTGTTGTTGTTCGAAATAGTGTTTAATATTACGTATATGTATATGTATATACTATTAGTGTATGCATATATTGATCGATTGATTTTTGTTTAAAATGAAGTCTGTGTAAGTATGTTAAAGTTGTTTTTGTAGATATATTTAATAATGTCTTTAGTCAGTAAGCAGTTGACGAGAAGACATCGAAATAAAGGATGTTACCACTTCATCTTGCAAGAACTGTAGTTCTTATTTTGGTGAAAGTGATAATTTTTGTTGAAATGAGAACAGCCTAACGACTTCTTTAGTAAAATGGATTATTTGCTTTTTGTTAAATTTCAAAGAGCTTATATCCCTCTTGATATAAATTTCGTTAAACTGGCGTTATTCATATACTGAATGGTTATTCTAAGTTCAGTTTACATGAACAGAAGTAATCTAAGGAGAACTATGGGCTCTATGATTCTTGGGAATATATATTACCCCAAATGGTCTCTTTGTATAACAGGTACGTTTGTTCTTTTCCTCATAAAATGGAACGATGAGTGATTCACACCCGTTTGATGGAATTATCTCAGATTTGCACACTCCAGCTCTCACTGCAATTAATCTAGGCAATAAGCCATCACCATCGTGCTTCAACTGCTCTGCGAACAAAACTTGAGAACCTGCTGATTTGCCTATTTTAAGGTTGAAATCCACTTTTGTTACGTCAGCCTAGCTGAGTGTCATTCTTTCAATAAATCAAAAGATAAAGAAGTTTGAAATTCCACAGTCAACTATTCAGGTTTCTACGCATTTTTATGAAATGTAAATGTAACAAAAGCAGTAAAAATATGAGTCCTTGCATTTTGATAGTTTCAATCTGCCATAAATTTATTATATTCTCCCTATTATTGTATAATTCGTGATTATATAACTTTTCTGAATTATAAAATTTTAATTAGGGTGTGGATATACAAAACTTTGGAAGCAGTTGGGGTGATGGCTTGGCATTCTGTGCATTAATTCATCATTTCTATCCGGATTCATTTGATTTCTCCGCTTTGGATTCAAAAAACAAACGCGCGAATTTTGAATTAGCGTTTGAAAAGGCCGAGTAAGTCACAAGATATATATATATATATATATATATATATATAGTATATTATCTTAAACATTTCCGTACTTCCTTAATTCTGTTAACTTTCAGTCTATGTACTGTTATTGTGTTGTAGCTTAAACTGACGCACTCTTAGGGCATATTATGTGCTAGTGTACTCCATCATATAGATTTTCTTATTTTGCTTACTTTGGCTACATTTATGATGAAAAAGATGCTTTCAAAAGTATAATGTCAATATATTTAAGAAGTTTTACCAGAATATACTGATACCCTACGATAGTTCATCTTTCATATTTAGGTGTGTCACTGACACAGTGGTAGAATGCTTACCAACCACGCATGTGGAACGGGGTTCGATCCCCGACCGATGCACTCCTTTACCTGTCTAAGCCAGTAATAAGACTGGTAAAGAGGGAAGGTTGGGCAAGAGGCTAGCAAGCCCATCCCGTAAATATAAATAAACACCACTACCACCGAAACTTTAAAGCTCTATCTTGAAGTCCTATGCTCCACTAGAAGCATAAGGGAATAAAATAATTTTAAAAAATGTACGTGCTTTCTATTTCCTTTGCGAGTTAAATAAGAATTACGAAGGGCTAAATAATGATCGGAAAAAGAATATGGAGTTATTAATCAGATATTTGAGGCATATAGTAGGTTGATTAATAATTGTCCATATGCTCAAGTGTTGGTTTGTAGGGATTTAGTTGTTTGGTTGGTTACAGGATTTCATCATGAGCTGACATCAGTTAGAGAACCATTGGAAAACCTGAGAATACTGGACAGCTATTTCGTCCTACTTTGGGACTCTTCATCAGTACGCACCCACTGCCAAGGTTCGAACCCAGGACCTTCTGGTTACAAGGCGAGTGAAACGGTAGACCATTAAGCCACTGGGCCCCGATCCAATGCCCCATCAATTCTAACTTCCGCCAATTCACGACATAACGCGAACCGCTAGCCATTGTCTTTGGCGAGTATTTATCCTCACACACACGACCTGTTGCACCCTACTGGTTACGACTACTAACTAGACCCCCAGGTAACTACCTACCTGAATAGAGACAGTCGCCAGTGAGCGTCTCATTGTCCATATATTCAGAAGATTGAAATCAAATATCTGTAGTCTTAATTACTAAAGATCAGTTACAAAATATTTGTTAAAATCTAATTGTTACAAAATGCCTGTCAATAATCCTCACATGTTTAAAATCCTAATAAGACTACACTGCTAGCATACTTAAGATCGATAAAACTATTTCAGATAGCATATATCAAGCAAAATACCTATGATACAGCTGTTTTTAATAATACAGAATCTCAGAAATTATTATTTGTTCCTATATATAGTATCAACTGTTCAACATATGGTGAGCTTTGATTAGCGTAATAATAATTCCTGAATAATTTAGGCAATACTACCTCTTCACTGAATGTTAACTTCAAATCTCCAGATACTTCAGCTTTCGAATACTAGTAATTGTTTTCATTCTTCAGATCCTGTCATTACAAGCCACAGTGGCTTACTCTCGTGAAACCTGCTCTCTTTATCTCTTTGTTAAATACAATAAAAGTGGATATTTGATTGAATGATCGCCACTTTCATCCCTTCTTTCTCTTTTTTCCTTCACGTTCCCCAGTGGAACATAGGGCTTCAAGCTTGAAGTTTCTGTAGCATTGTTTATTTTGCAGGATGGGGTTGCCAGCCTCTTGTCCAACCTTTCCTCTTTACCAGCATTATTACTGGCTTAGCGAGGTAAAGGAATGAGTCAGCCTGGGATCGAACCTCGGACCATGAGCATGGTCGGCGAGTGTCCTAAGCTCTGTGCCACCGACGCACACATCCATTACTTAGTCTCATTCGTCTTAAACTGGCCAAAGTTAGGAGCATTCCCTTAATCTAATCGCTTGAATAATTTCTTCATTATAGTTCTATATGTTTATACCTACGATTACAATCACTTCATACTTTCTCTGTATACAAACCATAAATAAGAGTAGCCATAGAAGAGGAATTAAACTTTCATAAAATTAAAAGTAGAAATCAATAAAATGAGCGTCAGCTGTTTTCGTCCACTGACTCTATTATTGTTATTTGGAAGTGATTTAGTTGTAAAAGAAAGTACTTTCTTTACACATTGAAAGTTATATTTGAAACTTTTAATCACCATCTATAAAAATGACTAAAAAAATACTGTATTAAGTTGAAGAAAAAACACAATGAACATAAAATTTAAACAAGAAGATCTCATGAAATGAATAGCTGTAAAAATAATTGCAAACTGGCGGGTGTATAACCTCTGGAAATACAATGCACATAAACCACTAAAATACTGCGTTACAAAATATAAATGTTATGCTTTGAAATAAGGCTTGCATATTGTGAAAAATCCTTGATTATTCAAATGTAGTTCATTTGTGCTCCATCTTCAAAGCGATAACCAATCAAACACAACCGTTTTCAAAATTCACCCTACCAGGAAGTCATTTTAAACAGAAGGTGTCCTGAGTCATAGTATCAAGCTGAATGTTTGCACTTTGTATAAGAACCAGTAAATTTTGTATTAATAAGAAACTAGATGGATGGCGTGAAAAAAATTTCACTAGGATGGTCATTTAGTTTGTCTCTGCTGGTAATCATTGTGCTACCTAATCTAGTTGGTAGCAAACTCAAAGGACTACATCAGTGCGCGTTTATTGCTTCATTTGGTTTTAGGAAGTTGGTTAATGATACTAGAAAATATCTGACTTTCCTCAAGACATTTCTCAGAACTAATATTTTTGTCTTTTCAGCTAAGAGTGTGAGTCAAGAAACTAATGTAATTCACGAATTGTTTACATGTTTAATTACAGGGGGAAAAGATCTAGAATTAGGGTTATTGCTTCAGATTACTATAACCAATATCCACACACCACTCGCAAGATAATTATGAGGCTGGAAAAGGTAAAGAAACCAAATGACTGAAGGGAATGAGACTTTGTAAAACAAAGGAAGAATCGGCAAATTAAAAAGAGAAATGCGATGGGTGAAGCATTAATATATCTGCGTCACTTTTTTCCCCGGGCATAGTATCTGCAGACTGTGGCCATCTGGTATTTCACCCGCTTTTGTTTACTTCCACAGTTACCTTTAAATTCCAGGATCTATTATATAATATGTGTAGAAATATAGATTTCATGACTTTTTGTTGGCAGTGTCTATCTATGATACTTATTTCTTATTAATATCACTGTGGATGTAGAGTTCGTCTGCTAGAATGTATTCTTCACTAAATTCTCTTCATACTTTATACGATCATTATTTACTCAAAAGTGCCTTCATCTTGTTGACTATTCCAGATGATTTCAGAAGCACGTTTCACTCATCTTTTAATATCTCAAGGCGTACGTCGTTTACCCATCTCAAAAATCTATAAAATCATTCGCCTCTATCTGCCTAGTTCATCACCTGACATTCTGCGAGAAAACTGATTTCACACTAAGCCTCATTCTATTATCTGTGGAAAATGATCGGCTCAGTTTCATCGACCCTTCTCACTATATATATAACGGAATTTATCTCTTCTAAATTAAAGTATGAGACAGACCAGATAATTAGATAACGTACGCGTATTGAGACCTATGACTGTAACACCATAACACAGGAGCAGTTGCAATTTGATGTACACACTTAAAGAAATTACGTATACTGTATTTTAAATTCTTCACTTGCACAGATGTTCTGTGTTGTCCTACTTTCTGCCCTTTGTGTTGTGTTTCCCTGTTTTCTTTTCGTGTCCTCCATGTTTCGCCGTAATACTGATTCGTTCCCTCATTTCACCTCTTTTCGATATTTTTATGTGCCAATGAACGTCTCTTTATATAATACCGACAAATCTTGTCAGTAGCACACGCCACGTGGCTACTTGTCTTTTGATGAAGAGTGTAAATTAGCTATTCAACTTTTAGAATTTAATCTTCGCACGATCAAGTTTACCTGCTCCTTTACACGAATCAATAGGATGTATCTTTATCTCTTAGAGGAATCATGCTACCTTTGTGAACTAAACCTGTGTCACTCAGTGCTAATGAAATTATTTGAGGCACACGAAATGTTCATTACAATATAGTTAATGCAAATGTTTATTCCTAAGGGTAATGCTTAGTATTTATTGATTATTTGTGTAAAATAATGATTAAGTAAAGTGGTAGTAAAGTGACATGTAAGGGAATAATTGCACTTTGACCTTGCACCAGTCGTTTAAAAGATAATTCTCTTGATAAGAAATGCTTGAACTTAGAATTTATGCCTTTTTAACAGTGATTAACAAGTTTCATTAATCAGTGGTTCTAAAAGTTCAAATATAATGTGGCTATAACTCTCCTCACAGGTAGTGACAGTTTGATTACTGTTATAGATTATTAACCTTCATCACAATGAACAGTCTTGTTGCTGTACATCGATTAGTTAATTGAGCAAACTAGTTGTGTGATGTATACTAGCATAGTGTAAACTATACGGGTATAACATGGATGAAAAAAGTGTGCTGTGTTGTGCTGAAATTTTTGCTTTCTTTTGGTTCTAAACAAAAAGCCAGCATATTTTTTTAAAGGAAATAACAAACATTTGTAAGAAACAATGCAAGGAATTTAGATACAAAAAAAGTTATGCTACAATGGAGATGTTTACAAAGCCTTTGACCGGATTATTTTCTATTCTACTTTATTTATTTGTCTATAACTTTTTCACCGATGGGTACACATGATTACAGTAGTATTTAAGTTTGATTCAAATAATACTACTTAAGTTCGCTTCCCATTGAATTATATTAGTAGTATATATGGAAGTGGCAGAAAGTTCAAATCAACATCACTAAGCATCCATGAAAGGATTTTATTGGATAATCAATCAATAAGGTCAAACTATCTGGGTTAGTAGTAAAATAGAAGTCTGTCATTGATTTGGTCGATGATCATTGGAGGTGAATGAAAGCTCTGGGTTACAGATGGATTTG